TGCTGAGGCGCTGGCACAGGGTGCCCAGAGAAGCTGTGGCTGCCCCATCCCTGGCAGTGCTCAAGGCCAGGTTGGACACAGGGGCTTGGAGCAAGCTGCTCCAGTGGAAGGGGTCCCTGCCTGTGGCAGGGGTTGGAGTTGGATCAGCTTTAAGGTCCCTTCCAACCCAAACCAGGCTGGGATCCTGTGACGTGTCTGCAACAGCTCAGGTGGCCTTCAGCAAAGGCAGCTCCTTGGATCTTCCCAGGGCTGAGGCTCTGTTGCAGCAGGGTCTAGGGCAGAGCTGGGAGAGCTTCACTTGTCCTGGAGGTAACTTCCCAGGAGGCAGCGGCTTCCACATCCACCAAGTGACGGCAGCCAACCACTGGAGCATCTTATCCCGGGGGATCTGGATGTTTCTTGGCTGCAAGGTCTCTCTGGAGGGACCCATCTTTCTGCACTCAGGGTTTGGTACAATGGAGCCCTGTTTCGTCTGAGGAGCTGCTGTCAGCACACCACCAGAAGAAAGAGGGGGAATATTGCTTCCTCTGGGAAATCACAAGAGCAAACCCCAAGTAACCTTGGTTACTGTGCTTTTATTCATGGTGCACACAGCAGCTGACAGCAGAATTCCTTTTCTTATGGACGTTTCGAGCACGCCATGTACCCGCGGATGGAAACCAGCACAGCCAGGGCAAGGAAGGCATTGGTAAGACAAGTAAATGTGATGTAATGGTTCTCTCATCGCTCCAGTGCTCTTGGCCAGTCTCCCCTAAGGAGGCCAGCTCCAGTACAGTGGGAAGCTGTTGTTGCTTCTGTTCTTGCCCAATTTAAGTCCTGCGGTGATTTGTTTTTGTAGCTCCTGGTGATGAACCATCTTTGGCTGCGGTTACGAACATGCTAACGAGGTGTCCATGGTTGGATGGCTTTGTAAGAGGGTTTGCAGCTTAAATCCTTAATAATGTGGGATTTGGGAGATATGTTTGCCCAGTGCTTAGCCTAATCGCTTGGTTCTGTTGTTATAGAAATGCCCTTTGTTGCTTTCCCATCAGCCTTTGGCTCTGGAAGGTCTCTCTCCTGTGTACAAAGTGCTTGTTCATCATTTCCACCCTTACAGTGGGATTTCCACAACCAGAGCCACCTGTGCTACATCCTCATGCTCTCTTTTGGGATTTTCCAGGTTCATCTTTCCCACTCTGCTCTATCAATATCTTATCCCTGGTCTCTGAGGAGGACGGTGCCTCCATAGAGGTCTATCTCCAGCCCCTCTTGCATGCCAGCCTGCAGGAAGCCACAGCCAAGCTTCCTCTGAAAACTATCTTTAACCCCTCATCCTTCCCACTCGTTTTCCCTGGCAGATCCTCAGGGACTTGCTGAACAAGATTGTTCTCACTTACACATCTCCTGTGACTGTATGAAAGAGCTTAACTCTGCTTTGAGAAGCACACTTCTTACATATATATTCTTGTCTGTACCCATCTTTTTCTTGCATCTTTGCCATGAAATCCCTGTTGTGAAGCCAAAGAGGAAAAGTTTGAAATCTACTTGATTCTTTTACTTTGTCTTCCCATATTTTAAAGGCATTTGGGCAATAAGGACTGGTTTTCCTGGCATATTCTCTGGCCTCATTGACCGAAGTGCAGCAGTTTTTGTACTGTTCTGATATTCGTTGTGGGACTCACATGGCCACGCATAGGGATTTAATGTGATTTGGTCTTTCAAAGACATGAATCCTACCCCATATCCAAGGTATCCCCACAGCTGGATCCTGCCCTCAATATAGAACCTTGAAGAGCAGCATGGGATGCAAGGATATCCACGCCGGAGTTGAACACATGTGGCTCATGCCATGCATGAACATGCAGTGCACATGTAGCATATATGTACAGCCAAGACTTGCTCCAAGGGTGGAAGATGCATTGTTGTATTGCCGTGATGACTTACGGTATGATGGCATGACCTCCTGATGGAGAAACCCCATGCACATGTATGAATTGGGGATACAATCCACCCCAACTGTAGCATACAAAAGGGAAAGCTTTAACTCATCCCTGGCAGTGCTCAAGGCCAGGTTGGACAGAGCCTTGGGTGCCATGGTTTAGTGTGAGTTGTCCTTGCCCATGGCAGGGGTTGGAACTGGATGATCTTAAGGTCCTTTCCAACCCAAACCATTCCATGATATGATCCTCTGTCCTGCTGTTTATTTGCTGCAGTCTGACACCCAACCACACATCTCCATTTGTTTCTGCCAACTCCAACGCCCTCACTCCCCCCTCAACACACTCATTGAAGTCCAGATACAGACTGGAAGGGATGTTCATCTCAGGTTTTAATAGCACAGAGGGGAAGAAGCACAAGAAGAAGCCAAAAAAACCCCACAATTTGCATGGACACCTCAACAATACAGCTTCATTGTATAAATTCAACCTGGACAACTGTTAACATAAGTGACACTAACAACAACCAAAACACACGTAAAGCTGAAGAGTCTGGGCACAGTGCTTGGTGGGCATTGGTCCATAGAGGAAGATAAAAGCTCAATCCAGATGGTGACTGCTGTCCTACCATACCTAGGAAGGACATGCATTTTTAGGATGCAGGTTTCTGATTCAGTCCTTCCTGGTCTTCCCTGCTCTGGCATTGGTTGTAAGGGAGTCTGTCAGCCAAGAAGGGTCTTAGAGTTGGGTTCAGTCTTCTTTTGGGTTTATGTGTCAAGTCTTTGTATCAGGGGGCTACGGGGGTGGCTTCAGTGAGAAGCTGCTGGAAGCTGACCCCAGTGCAGCCAGGTCCAAGATGGGCCCACCACTGGCCAAGGCTGAGCCCATCAGTGATGATGGCAGCACCTCTGGGATGCGGGATTTAAGAAGGGAGAACAAACCTGACATTGAAGTCAGAGGGAGGAGTGAGAACATGTGAGAGGAGCAGCCCTGCAGACCCCAGGGTCAGTGCAGGGGGAGGCACCAGAGCAGAGGCTCCCCTGCAGCCCGTGGTGCAGCCCATGGTGAGGCAGCTGTGCCCTGCAGCCCATGGGGGCCCATGGGGGAGCAGAGGGTGCCTGATGGAAGCCATGACCCCATAGGAAACCCATGCTGGAGCAGACTCTTGTGGACAAATGGGGAGAGGAACCTAGAGGGATCCCCAAGCCAGGTCTGTTTATCCATGATGGTAACTGGTGAGTGATCTCTGTCCTTATCTCAACCCATGAACCTTATGTTTTCTCTCCCCATCCAGCTGAAGAGGGCAGTGATGGAGCAGCTTTGGTGGCCACCCATCATCCAGCCTGGGTCAAGCCATCACACTCCTGTTTGGGTTTTGGCCATCCACAGTTTGATGCATGCCTGGATGCCTCCTAATGACTTTTTGCACTAAGTTTCCTCAGAACTAGGTGTGTTTTATAGCTGCAGGTATCTCCTGTAATCTATCTTTACCTCATTTAATCCTGCTGGGCAAAGGGAGCAAGAGCAGAGGAGACACAGGGCTTTGTTCTTCTGCTTCCCATTGCTTTTTTCATGAGTGATGCTTGCCCAAAGCTGTTATTTTTGGAGAGCTGGTGCTCCTGTTTATTGTGAAGGCTCCTGGGGCCCTGGGTGCAGGCTTTGAGCTAAGCAAATCTAAATTAGAATGACATTTCAAACACTTCCGTGCTATACCCTAGTGTGCATAGGGAGGAAATATGAGGAGATTGACTTCAGATGCTTCAAGTAAAAAGCCCCTTGTGGGAGTACCAGTAAAGTTCTCAGCTCCTCCAGGTAATTATATTCTGACATAAGCTGTTTGGATCCCAATTGAAGGTAACTCTAATCTGGACTTTGTTATGATGGATAAAGATGAATTCGTCACTGGAGCTGGAAGCTGGGCTGTCCTTGGAGGCTTGTGATCATGACCTGCCTGCTTCAGTTTGGGCAAAGATGGGACAGCTTCAGCTAACAACGTGTGTGTGTACACACAGGTACACAGAGGGGCTCAAGAGGGTCAGAGCTGATAGATGTTAACAGCAAAACTGGAGAGGAGGAGGACACGGAGAGGAGGGTGGCCATGGGACCTGGCAATCGTGTCACTTATCAGATGGTTTTGTTCACCAAGGCAAAATGCTTCCACAAAGCACATGCAAAAATAAAGGCTTTGGGAGCCTGCTGGGTCTGAAGATGTGGTTTCACTACTGATGCTGCCTGTGGAGAATGAAGTGGTTGGGATGCACTGAGGAGGTCTGGAGAGCTGCAGAGCAGCATCCCCTTGTTAAAGGAGCATGGTGTGGTCAGAGGACCATTGGGCATCTCATCATGGTACAGAGATGCATGGTACTGAGCTGTTGGGGAGAGTTTGGAGGGCAACATCAACCACCAGCAGCTTTCCAGGCTCTGAATTTTGGGGCTGGGCTCTGGATTATCTGTTCAGCCTTGCAGGGAGCAGATTTTCATTGTCATTTTTCATTATATTTCATTTATATCATTATTTATTTATGTCCTATTTCATTTATAGAAGGCCACAGAAGAGAGCCAAGTCATGTACTTCTCTTTCACTTATCCATCCAAACGGATGGCCTATGTGTAGCACCCAGAACATTGGTCCAAAGTGAAAGATCTAGGTATCTGCACTTCCTGAATTGTTGTTTAGCACCACAGGCAAGAGTTCAGCTGACATTTACCACTGCAAGTGCTTCCCTTAGTTCAAAGTAGTCCTTAGGCTTTGTTTTTCAGAGGAATCTTCCAACATGTCAGTATAGTTCCAACAAGTCTGGTGCAACAAGTGGATCCTGATGTATTAGCTGCAATACCTGATTTCCAAACCCATAAATGGTTCAAATCTGCTTGAATTTTTGATACAAGGCAAATTTACATTGTTAAACCTGAAGAAAGCAGACCCTGTTGCCCTGCTATCTTTTGCATAGCATCCAGAAATAACCTATAGTTCTGGTTCTTCTTTATCGAAGTCCCAGATGAAGTTGGATGGAGTTTGGAGCAAGCTGCTCTAGTGGAAGGTGTCCCTGCCCATGGAAGGAATTGGAACTGGATGAGCCTTCCAACCCAAACCAGCCTGGGGCTCTATGAGTCATTATTGCAGCCAGAATGCCCACTTCAAGCATCAATCCACTGCAGGCATGTGGAAGTATTTCCATGTGTATCTTCAAGCTCATCAATGTATGAACATTGAGTTTACTGTCAGTAGGTTGGTGCCTGTGGTGTCTTGCCGCCTGTGTCAGAGCTTAAGCGCTTTCTGCTCAGTGATTTGGCTCAGTTTTGGTTACAGAGCTGATTTCTTGACTGTTCCTTGTCTTTGTTTCAAGCCCTTAATGCTCTTAAGTCCGTATATCTACATGTCCTCCTTGATAATGCAGACCTGGAAGATGTTTTGAAGACATAGATGATAAAATACAGCACCTCTTTCCTTCCTTTCCCCTTTCTTCTGCTCAAGCACAGAGCATGAGAGCAAGGAGCTCTCATTTCCTTTACTAGATATTTCTGTTTTCCAAACCTTGCTCCCGTCTGAAGCTGTTGGCTCCAGTTTGGGCTCTTTTCTTTTGCTCTGGGTTGTTTCGGGGTTGTTGTGGTTGTTATCCTCTCAAGAGAAAGAAACCACGCGGCTTTCCAAGCTCTTGAATAGGCGTCAAGTACAACATTCCAAGCAATTATTCAAGCTGGTAATAAGCAGTGAGACATCCTTCCTGTAGAGAAGCTGAACAATGGTCTCCTCGGACAGAAGCAAAATATTAGGAGCCTTCCATATGTTGCAGTTGATTTATACAGCGGCAACAGCTCTGAGTGGGATAGGAGGTCCCAGTGAGTATCTGGATATGCTGCGGGAAGAAAAGCTCTGTGGGTTTCACCCTGACATGCCATAAAGTTCTGGGAGGTTTGCCCCCATCTCCTCAACATCCTTGTTTTGAGAGCATTTGCTTCCTTCCCTGGATTTTTTAGCCCTTTCCATCACTTCCCTGGCTTTTTTAGGCGATTCCATCACTTCTCTGGTTTACCCCGAACACCCAAGGGGAGCATTTGAGCCATCTCCCACCTCAAACACCAGGAGGACCTCCAGGGAAGAGCAGTGCTGGTTGAACTTGGCAGCCAGTTTGACTTGTGTCCCTGCAGCCCCGGTGAGCACATCCCCTTCCCACACCATGTTTGTGGTCTGCTGCAGCACCGTCTTCTCTTGCCCAAAGACCACAGCTTGGTTGGCTTTTGGTACCTTAACCCTGAACCTGACCCAGCTCTGCTCTTGGAGCACCCCTGTGCGTGGCTCTAGCAACACGCACCCTGTCCTCCATAAGCTGTAGACCCTGGGGAAGGGAGGCCAACTGGGATCGGAGAAGCAGCGGATAACATAGTCACAAATATGGACAAAGTCCTTGTGGTCCTTGCTTCTCCCATAAAGCCCCACTTTATAGACGCCTGACTCAGGGAGCACAACACACACACTGACTTTATTCCTTAGGTGGGTGACCAGGACGTATCTCTCCAGTGGGTACTTGGTGCTGATGACTTTGTCCTTACTCAAGCTGGCGGCCACCTCGACATCAGTGGACGTGTGGAAGGTGATGTTGCACTTCCCCACCTTGGTGGTGATGATGGGGGCTGAATGGCTGGGGTTGGAGAGGCCATGGCTGCTGGAGCTGATCCCGCTCCCGCAGTGCATGCTCAGCCCCAAGGGGAAGAGCTCGTTCTGGTTGATGGGCCTTGAACAGCGCATGAGGAAATTGGCCACGTTCCTGAATGTGATGCCTCCTACATCCTTCACGAACACAGAGAGCCGGTAGTAACCCTGGAAAGGGCAGAGCACATGGCAGCTGAGCTTGTCCTCCTCAGCTTGAGCAGCCAGGCATTTCTTGCTCAAAGCAGTGTCTAAGTCTTTATTAACCAGCTCATACATAGCAAGCAAGGGTCGGGATGTCTGGAGAGTCAGGAGCAAAGTTCCCTCTGGTGCAATAAGCATCTCCCCTTTGTGGCTGCTCTCCTTGATGCCAAAATCTCTCAGCCTTTGGTGAAGGCCCCAGAAACGAAAAGGGTTTTCGGGCAGTTTCTCCCTATTGTGTGGCTCCAGGCATTGGATCTGATAGGAGCACACCCAGTTGTAAGGGTCCTGAGAGTCAGCGTGACGAGCAAAGATCATGAGGTCAAACAGGCCCTCGGTTGGGGGAGTCACCTTGATGGTCATCCTGTTCTCAGACATCACCATCATCCCATGATCTGTGCTTACATCCTCTTCGGTTGTGGTGCCCTGGAGTTTGGAGAGCTGGTAGGTGAACTCTGTTGGGTGCGTGCTCCCCAGCATCACTGACACCTCCCCATGGGCTGCAAAAGGTGAACAAAACACCTTTTACAACCCCTTCAGCAGCAGTAACACATTCACTTTTACAGTGTTGAACCAGATCATCTACAGGGCAGACAGAGACCTGATTTTCCTTCTTTTTGCCTCTACCTTCTCCACCTTTTACCAATTTTTAACTGCTGCTGGAAGAAGGATGATGGTATCACTGGATCTGAAAGGGACAGGGCCAAATAAGTATTTGGACCTGAGACACCTATAACTATTTGGACCCTGAGACATCTGAAACTAAGCTAATGATGTCCCATAGAGGGTAACTCTTGCATGGCTTCTTGAGCTGGCGTAACTCCTCTAAGCTGCAGGTCTTGCACTGTGGTGTCAAACCAATAAAACAGCTGGGAGGATCAAACTAACCCAGCCTGGCTGGTAGGAGATCCCACATCACTGCCACAGTTTTAGGAATGAATTTTATTTTCCCCATTTATTAGTATTAAAATACTTTTCCTGAGTGTTTTCTTTACCAAATCACAGAAATCCACAAACTTGGAGTATGTGTTAACCATGGAGAAAAGGAGAGCCAAAGGAGAGGTGCCCTGGTATGGCTGCCTGGTGGTGGTACCATGGTTGGTAGATAAGTGCTGGGGCTCTTTCCCAGTGACTTTTGCTGTTTGGGTGGACATGTGGCAGTGGGGTTGGAACTGGATGATCCTAAGGTCCTTTCCAACCCTAACCAGTCTATGATTCTGTTCTATGCTCTCCTGCTCCCTCAGGTTGAGCACTGCACGTGCCTTCAAACCCAATCTGAGCCCACCTTCACACCCAGAAGTGGAGTCGTGGGGGCCTTGGTTTCACTCCCACCCTCCATGTTTCACATCTTGCTGCTTACAAGCCACAGTAAGAGAGGGCAATTCCCTGTGCAACAAGCACTCCCAAGGGATTGCCATCTGCTGCTGGGCAGAAGGGGCACTTGGTTGATTTTGCAGTGGAGATAGGGCAAGGTTTTGCAAGCCCTGAAGAAGGGACTGTGTAACCAGCAGACAGCAGGCTGCTTTCAGCACGTGGTGAGCTACATCATCCCATGTGAAGCCACAGGTACTGGGGCTTCCTGGCTGGAAAACCCTGGTTTAATGGTCCTTTATACCCTTTTTCTTGCAGGTTTAGATGAAAGCATGAGAGAAGTGGCCACAGCAGAACAAGACTTTGAGTCTTTTTGCCCTGGAAGGATCCCAGAGCTCCTCACAGAGCCTGGCACTGGCATAGAGATGCGTGCTTAAGGCCACCATCCCAAAGGTCTGTGCAAATGGAGCCTGCACATCATTACCCAAGGTCCCAAGTGCCCAAGGATGGCTTGTCTCCCATCCAGAGTGTGGGGCTGCTCTGCATCATCCCATCCTCACCATGGTTTTGCTGCAGAGAGGGTTGAATAGAGCAAAGGCACTGCAGGAGCCCATGGCTGGTATCAGCACCCGTGCTGTGCACAATGCTCATTTGTTTTGGGTGCTAACACAGAATGACACAAAGACTCCAGCTTCATGCTGAAAAAATGGTCCCTTGTTAATTATTAGATTATGAAACGGGTTTCATAATCTAATGAAAAAAGGGGGGGGGAACGACGACATGGACGACACAGCTCTTTTTTTTTTTTTTTTTAGTTAATTCTGTTTGAATCTGGGTTTTTTCATTGTTTGCCCCACAGTTTTTGTTGGTAGGTTGAAAAAGAGACGTGAAAAGAATGGGGAGGCTGGCTTTTATTTGTGCCTCGCCTGTTAAAGCTGTGACTTGGCTCACACAGTAAGTGCAAACAATTCTCCCCTGGCAAGTGTTCAGTGGAGACATTGCTGATGACAGACTTTATTAACTGCAGGTTTGCCTGTTATTAAATTCTCCCTGTGTTAGTTTCCGAAGCTGCTGGCCTGGCCGGCTGCATCGTGTTAGGAGCTTGAGGAAGAAAGAAAAGAACAGAACATTGTATGCACCGGAGCCAGCGATGGGGAGATAGGGAAAGCCGGCGATGCATTTTGCTTTGGGAAGGAGACCCAAGGAGATAATGAACGGCTAGGTTTAAAACAAGCATTTCTTTGTTTTGTTGGGCTAATTGAAGCCATGCATTAGAGATTCCTGGTTTCCAGGTGAAGCTGGGGATGTGTTCCCACGTCAGCACACTCAGTGCTGCAGGAGGTCAATGTATGTTGCATTAATTGTTTGAGGGGGAAACCACCATTAAAGACAGGCATGGTTCTAATTTCTCAAAGCCTTGTTTAAAAGGCTTCCCTTCCCCTCTCCCACCCTAGCTATTGTATCTACAGCATGCCACCAATGACTGCCTTCTATACAAAAACCCCTATCTTATATTGTCTTAGTTCCATAGGACTCAATGCCTTTCACCACTGCTCCAGCCCTAACAGCATGGACAATATTAGCAGTTCAAAGGGCTGTGTTTCCAAAGGATGGGTGCCAAGTATCTCCTGAAAATCAGGTCCCCTCACAAAGTGTCCCACCTTCAGCTCCCATCAGTTGTCTGTGGGAGGAATCTTGGCGTTTTAATCAGATGGGAGCTGCTCAAACAGGAGAGAGCAGGAATTGATCCACAGTAGCCAAAGAGGAAATACAGGCTGACTCTGTACCAAAGATCTAAAGCAGCTTTGCAGAGATTGCTGTAGAAGTTTAAGTGTGCCCTGTAAGGTGATGGCTTAATTCCATCAACCTAGAACAACACAACCGTGATTTGCCTCAACAAAAGCAGATGTCTGGTTTGATTCACAATCAGGGTTTTAAGCACACTTCTGATATGGGGCTGGTTGTTCAGGTGAATTGCAGAGGTTAAACTGTCCAGGCTAGGTCCAGGAATACAGTTCATTCCCTCCCTCTTCTAATGCAAAAATCTCCTTTTATCTCAGATTTGGAGGTAAGAAGGAAAACTGCCGGTAGCCAGCCCAGCTTTGTGAGTGTAGGGACAGGAGTTCCTCTAGCCAAGGGGGTCTAAAAGGAGGGATGTACCTGGGATGTGCCAGGTAGGTTCTCTTCTATGACAAGACCAAGCTGGATGGAGTCAAGACCAGGTTGGACACAGGGGCTTGGAGCAAGCTGCTCCAGTGGAAGGGGTCCCTGCCCGTGGCAGGGGTTGGAGCTGGAGGAGCTCTAAGGTCCCTTCAACCCAAACCATGCTGTGATTCTATGATCAATCCCCAGATCCATTTTGGCTCAAGACAGCAAGTGGCCAGCAAGGATCTAAAGCACTGAGCTGCTTCAGGGCTTCACCCCTTTGACTTTTAGCTATCAAAAGCTGGGTCAGGGAGGGGAGGGAATGATGAAATACTTATTTTCCCTTATTCTCCCCTTCGGGCTTTTGCACCACCACTAATGATGTTTGCTGAGAGCCTATGTTTTGCAATTGACCGCTTTGGCACCCAGATGAAGGGGCTGGTTGCACTATTGATCTGTTTTTCCTCTCAGACCGCAGACACTGTGCTGGTTGGGTTTATTCCCTGGAGCCTCCCTGGTGACCTGGCCCTGAAAGGGGTTTCTCCAAGTCTTCATTCCTGCATTTGCCACGTAGCTGCTGTGTGACCTTGAGCAGAGGTAGACAAAATCCCCTCCACAGGATGCTCTGAGGTTCTGCACTGGGGATGCACTACAAGAGCTTTGCAGCATTGACCTTTCAGCATTCCCAAGTTAAGTTGATTTCCATATATCATTTGCTGCTCCAGAAGTGCATGATAACCCATCTTAACAAAGCCCCAGCACCCAAGAAACACTGGAGGAGTTTGATTTCTGGGACCTCTCCTGGTCCAAAGCTTTACAGTGTGCCTGCTCTGTCACATTTTCTGCCAACCCAACAACTCCCCTCAGTCTGACATTGCTTTATCTCTTGATAAAATACATGGCAGGAAAAAAATCCATATAATCCTGGGGCTATCTAAAGGAATGGATGGATAATGAATGTCCAGGTTAGGAGATCATGTGTTATCCAACCTAAAACTACAATCAAGGAAAACCAAGTCCACCCCCTCCTTCATGTTCCAACTGGGACATGAACATTTGAGGCCGTGCTTTATCTGGGAGTCTCTCTCCCCAGCTTCTGAACACGAGGAGAACTCTATCTCAGGTAATGTCAAAGCTATTTTGCTACTGTTGGTGAATGTTGATGGGAAAAGCCAGGCACAAAAGGGCTTAAGCGATTTGACTCAATTAACTACAATTTGCAAAGCCTAATTCCCAGTTTACTAATCACAGCACCACGCAATGGCCGTGATTTCAGAAGTGGCTTAAATCTGTGCTTCTGCTCCATTAGATGTTAAACATGTGCATAAAAATAGACAGATGGGCCACTTCTGGAGGAGAAATGCTTTCCTGAACACAAACTAACTTCTTAAAAGCAATTGAGCTTTTATGTAACCCGAATTAATCCCTCGCTTTGTATTTACCTGTTTTGAGGAGGGAAGTGTTTGGAGAAAGGAGGGAGAGCTGGAGTCTGAAAAACTCTGATGTTTTAAACACTCTCTGCTCAAAGTCTTCCTGCAAGACGGGGGGCTGCAGAAGCTGCCACTGGGGGTCCTCTGGCCAGTGGCTCTCAATGAAGTGCTCAGGGTCAGTAAGGAAGAAAAAGTCATCGTGCCTGCAAGGTGAGAGGAGAAGACGCTATGGAAGGAGCAAGAAAACCCTTGGCATCCCTAGTAGTCGTGGTGCATCACTGTAAGGGAAAAGAGCTCCCTCCATACCACCAGGGCTGCACCAACATCAGCAAGGGAGGACCAAGCTCTCATTTGACATTTCATTCTCTGCTGTCCTTATTTTCCCCATAGAGCTGAAACTGCAGCTCCCAGCCCTGTACCAGAACTCGACCATATAAGCTGCAGAGGGGTGATTCCTCTACCAAGGCCTGTCACTTGAGGATATGTTCCAATACAATGTTTGATCTTGCTTTAAAGCTTTTCCAACAATTTAAATATGATTTAAGAAACAAAAATGCAGCTTGGTTACAGATTGAATGATCTTAACCTGATTTCCCCTGCTAAGGTGCTGGCTTAGCGGATCAATGTACAGATTCCTCCTCAGCCTTGTATTGGGGTCATCCCATGAAGCCATTTTGCATCTGTTGACCTGAAGGTTTTAAGGACTCTGTGATGGACCCACAACAAACTGTTATCTCTGCCAGTTGCTCTAGGTGATGTTTCATTCTCTCTCTCCTCTTTTCCCCATGCTCATCTAAAAACAACCCACACTCACTGGTGTTTTAAGCTGTTCTCAGCAAGATAATTACCTATTAGAAATTGCACAATTATTTCATTATGCATTATTAGAGGGAAAAAAAAAATACAATCCCATAATGCAGTTAATGGGAATTATTAAATTGTACAAATAAATTTCATGAGAGTCATTATTTGCTTAGCATGGGCCGAGAAATCTCAAGTAATTACATATGGAGCCACATCAGAGCAAAGTTGCTGTGAAAATGAGGATTTGTTCACTTCATAAGTGATACTCATTGCAGATTAAAAACAAGTTGCAGGGGGGAAAGTTATCATCTGACAAGTTACTGCCCCAGCTCAGGGAATAAGGCACTTAATGGAGGTGGATACATGTGGCTGGTCCACGTTTGCACGAGGTCCCTGAGCACCCATCATTGCTGAGGATGAGCAGAATAGGTCGTTCTGCAAGTAGCATCTAGGAGGGTACTTGGAAACAGGGGCTCAAGGGATGGTGAACCCACACTTTAAGGGTGAGCCTTGTCTGTTTGTGTTGGGGACCATGTCTCATGCGATGCTGGGGCAGAGGGGTCTTACCTGGGTATGAACAGCCTGTTCTCTGCATCCACGGTCCCTGCGCCCCAGCAAGCATCCAGGAGGCACCACTGTCCTTCCAGCTCCACCGCGTTCCACATGTGGCTGCTCTTCTGCTGCTGGCACCACCGGCCTCCACGGGATCCCGGGATCCGGCCAAACCCTGGGACCTGCACGCAGCTCAAACCTGCTTCCCTGCCCAGGAGAGTCAGCATGGGAGGGAGCTGCAGCCCACGCACTGCTTTGGGCTTGCTGCCCTGCAGAGCAGCCCAGCCCTCATGGTGAGGGCAATCTCCTTCTTAAAGCCAGGGCCCTGCTTGTGCAAGTAATGGCCAAATGCAGCTTGTATCTAGCCCCATGCTTTCCCCACAGCTACTCCCAACCTTCATCCTTCCTATCTCTGGTCCTGGTTAATCTGTCAAAGAGATATCATAGAATCATGGAATGGTTTAGGTTGAAGGGAGCTTAAAGCTCCTCCAGCTTCAACCCCTGCCACGGGCAGGGACCCATTCCACTGGAGCAGCTTGCTCCAAGCCCCTGTGTCCAACCTGGCCTTGAACACTGCCAGGGATGGGGCAGCCACAGCTTCTCTGGGCACCCTGTGCCAGCGCCTCAGCACCCTCACAGGGAAGAGCTTCTGCCTAAGAGCTCAGCTCAGTCTCCCCTCGGGCAGGTTCAAGCCATTCCCCTTGGCCTGTCCCTATAGGCCCTTGTCCCAAGCCCCTCTCCAGCTTTCCTGCAGCCCCTTTAGGCACTGGAGCTGCTCTAAGGTCTCCCCTTCAGGAGCCTTCTCTTCTCCAGGCTGCCCCAGCCCAGCTCTCTCAGCCTGGCTTCATAGAACAGATATGCACTCCTCCATCCAGAGTCAGAGAGAGGCAGCTGCTGTGCCTGGGGATGTGGCACCTAAACGATCCTGGTTGTATGGCAAGCCCCATTCCAGATGTACATCCCCACCTCAGCTCTTCAAGGGGGCAGGAGAAGAAAACCCAAGGTGAGTTTTACCTGCACATTTCCTGGCACAAATGGGCATAACCAGAGCACACAGCTCTTCCTGTTTGCAGGACCTCCTCTGGCATGTGAATCTTCTGAGACAGTCCCAAGAATCCGTTCACATCATATTCTAGGAAAGGCAAAATACCATGCAATTTCAGGCTTATTATTTCCTAAACAATCCCATTCCTTCTCCTGCCCAACCCTATTTCTCTGCTTACCCACGCTGGAAGCCATGACTGCTCTTCTATCCATTATTATCCAAGAGCCTGACAATTCCCTATACGAGCAAAGAATTGCCAAAGCCTTGGGGGAATTGGGTTCCCAGCTCATGTAAAAAGCCTTTGTGCCATTCAACTGAGGTACAGTGACAGTCACATTGTCTCGCACACATGGATGTAGTAGGGTCAAGCAGCACAAAGCGACTGCATTGTGCTGAGATTCCTTGTCCCCAGATGACTGCTAACAGGCTTAGTTCAGCCTCATCAAATGCACATTGTCAACAGCCTCTGGTGGTGCACCGGAGGCAGGTAGGCTTTGCTGGTGTCTCCAAGAGGCTGGACCCACGTGCCAATGAAGCAAGGTGCCATTTCCAGGATGAAAGATGCTATAGTGGGAACCAGATCCTACTCCAGGCACTTCCCTGAAAGGGAATCACTCCAGCTCATTCAACAGCAACAGGAATATTGTGGAGTCTCTGTTCTGCAGGGCATGAAGAGCCTAAATCCAAGCGGTGACATGAAGAAAGGACTTGTCCCTTCTCTTCAAAAGCATTGGGACCAGGCTTGACTTACCAATGTTGTGGCAGAGCCAGAACCATATTGCCCGCATTGTCTCCAGTTTGCTCTGGGATTTGGCAGTGATCAGGGGAATGATGGCCTGGATGGATAATGTGGAGTGCCCGGACTTCAACTGCAATGGAGAGGAAGGGTGAGTTAGAGGGAATCTGGGTGGGTGACGGCTCCGTTGATGGATGGCTGCTCCACATGGTGCACTGGCTGGTAAGAGAATGTGCACCACAAAAACCCCAAAGCTGCATTTCCCACCCCAGAATTTAGAACTGAGAAATACCATTCGTGGTGGAACAGGGTGTTTTCCCATTTCCCTAGGCTTTATAAATACCTGAGGGCTGGAGGAAATGAAGATGGCATTTCCCATTCCTTTGGAGCAGCTGGTTGGGATGTACAGTGCCATTGCTCTGGTGCCCTCCCTGTCCAGATCAGCATGTCCTAGAGGTGGGTCTCTCCCAGTGGTGCTGCTTTGCAAGGCTTAGCTAAGGACAGCAGCTTTCCAGCCAGCACTGATGAACACCCAGTGTATTCATGCAGAAGAGTCACACTTGTGACCCACTTGCTCTTCATGAGGCTGTGCAACCTCACTCAAACCCATGCACCAAGAGTGGACAGATTTCTTGCTCTTACCACTACAATTTCACTTTTTAATCCATACCTGACCCCAAACAAAGCCTTTCTGCCCCTTTCCTCCCATTCATGCATTCCCTTTTCTGGGCTCTTCCCCTCTTTGTAATAGCACATTTTTAGCAGCGGGCTTTTCTTTCAGTGAGTTAAATATAGTCCAGCTCGTTTCTCCAGCGTCCTTCCCCTGCTGTTTCATTCCTCAGTGATTTTCCTGCCCCAACCATCTGTGAGATAGCTTCACAGGGATGGAAATATCTTTCCTTTTTTTCCTTGTGGGAAATGTTGCTTTTGTAGTGGCCAAAGATTTTCCTTGGTTTAAAAACATCAGTACAGTCAGGAGAGCACCTCGCTCAAAATGATGGTGCTTACACGAGGTTGTTACCAGTGTGCCTTTAGTAGACAAACAAACAAAGGGACTTATTCCCAAAGGGATAAAAACGGTACTCAGACATTAAATACCTAGTTACCTTCTTCCCCGTTTGCACATCTTGGTCCAAATTCAGCCCAAGGCAATGCTATTCTTTGTTTCAGAGATGGTAAAAGTAGGTCCTAGACTGAGAGTTGCAATGTTCCCAAGTGATCCTGGTCCTGGCCATGCCTGAGAACCCTGGGTTGGAGCATCTTAGGTTGCGTTAGCTGCTGGCTGCATCAGTGTGTTTGGAGTTTAAGGATGGAGCTGTTTTCCCCAAACCCACCCAGGCAGTGCTCCTGACAAGGCTTTCTCATAGGGTCAAGATGGATGCATGCAAGCAGTCTGCAGGCTACTCCCAAATGGCCAGGACACAGGTTCAGCTCTGTGCCTGCACTGCCTGGGGCAATCCCATCACCCACCGTCTCCGAGGGGACTGGCAGCAGGGCTTGGTGTATGGGAAAAGGGACAAAGTATCCCCAATGCACTGCTGGCCAAGCAGCGGTCACCAGAGGTTCAGTTCCCTACTCATAGGTGGTCAGTAAACTGCTTTACTGCTGCTCTTGGCACCAAGCATTCGTGGCTCAGAGGAAGAGCTGAAGAGCACCAGGTTTTAGTGCAGCCAACACTCATAATAAACAGGGAAACAAGTTGTTCCCATGGCTTCCCTCTGCCTTGGAGGTCTTTTTGGTTGTTTATTATCCTCTTTTTCCTATCTTCCAAATCCCTCCCCCTCTATTCTCTTCAATAGAATAGGTAGACTCTGAAATCCTCAAGCATCCTTCTTCCCAAGGGAGATTAGCCTCAGGCTAGGTACAAATTACAGTTTTCAACAATAATAGAGAGCACAATTACCCTTGTGCCTCTTCACTCTCCATAATGAGCTGACCTGTAAGCTGCAAACACTGCATTGGTTCAGCATTCAGCTTAGACAAATCCTGCCAGCCCTGAACTGCACATGGTTCAGGTAACAGGAAGGAACTGGAGAATTCCTTCTGGGCTCCTGAGCATCCACAAAGTGGGAGAGATGTATAACTGCAAACAGCCTGAAAAGAGGACACCCAGCTGATGCCTCCTGCTTGGGCTGCCATAGATATAAAGGGGTTGGTGGATGTGGCCAGACCGTGTGGTTATTGCTGGCTCCATGTGCAGGAAGGATGCTGGCTTACAAGCTGCCAGGCTAACTAAACATACCCTGGGGTATCCTGAGTCCCTTCATCTCCCCCTTGCACCCTTTCTATAAGGTTTTCCAGGACCCCCCTACCACACTGAGATCCTGTCTGGGACAAGATCCTGTCCCATGGTGAAACCAGACTTTATTCCCAGTTTTGCATGATGAGTTGCAGCAAGTGCTGCATATTGCAGCTGTGCAGGAAACAGGCAGCAATGGGCCCTGGGTGAGCAGCAGATCTTGAGCAGTAGCACAGCAACCTTTGCCCATGGTTATGACCAATTCTCAGCCCTTGTGAGACAGTCTAGTTCTGCTGTAAGGCACCACCTTGTCACTGTTGTCATCAGAGCATACAGTGAAAGGTTGGATATGGATCTGCTGATGGCACCATCTGTGTTCATGCTGAAGGACACCAGGACCTACCTGCTGGCTCACATGTAGGACATGGGTGTCTATGTGGCTGAAAACCTTTGAATCAGAGAAGAAATCTCTCCTGGTCTTTCTCTGGGGACTTTTAGCCTGCTTCTCTCCTCCCAAGATGCTAGGGCCTTCCTTGGGATGCAGGGCTGGAGAGCATCTTCCTGCGGTCATGGGTGACTTTTGGAAGGAAGGTTCTTTGCTGCTGTTGTTCACTTTGTTGGCCCAAAACGTGAAAACTGCTTTGGAAGGGGAATCCTTGGGCTCATCTCTTGCTTTCTGTGTAGCTGAGCCTTTCTTTAGCACCCCCTCCTTGTTTGCATTGGTGACTCCAGGAGGGAGTTTCTCTGAGGTCGTGCAGCTGATCTCATCAGAACCATGTCCCGGGGGAAAGTTGCCATTACAGACATCTGACATCCGAGCTTCCCTCCAGTCAGGCAGCATGTTTGCTGTCTGGGGTGGCACCGTGGTTCCTTCGTGGTTCTTGGGGTGGGCCTGTCTCGATGTGCTCTGGGTTTGTTCTTCATGGTGGTTGCCATTCCTGGAGCGACAGGAGGGAATGGTCTCGTTTGCTTTGATAGTCTGGGATTTGGATGACTTGCCTCTGTCATAGCTGGTCTTCATCTGGGTAAGCGGGTGATGAAACCACGGAGGCCTGCGGATGGAAAGACAGATGATGGTTTCAAGAGAAGAATGTGCCCTGCACTGATTGCTTCAGAGCCTGCCTGTCTATACGGTTAATTACAGCAAATCAGGATTTGGCCAGCTGGGTTTACCCCAAAGCACTCATTTTTCTCCTGATTCCAGAAGTAAGGTGTGATGGAAATGCCACAGAGAAGCTCTTGGCCTGTTTCAAAGTGCAAATACTCTTTTGGGGAGGGGGGAAGAGGAATAGTACAAGATACGAGGTGGGATATGAGCAGTTCATCTTTGCACTGTAAGGGAATGGGAAAATTAGGGTTATTCCTTTCACAAAGAAAAGCAAGGAGACGTTTAGATGTGTCAGAAGGGTCTGCAAGTGAGTGCAGAGAATGGGTGGGTGCCTCAGTTTCTCTACATGAAACTAGGGCTAATCACGCAGTATTCCTCCTTGCCTCCAGGGCCAGGAATCAAGGAGAGCAAAGAACTACAAGAATCAGTGTTTTGGTGCTTCAGAGGGGTACATCTTCCAGGAAATCTTTCCTTTAGGAGAACTCTCATCCAGGATGTTTTTGCTTTGCTCAGATTCTCTTCTGCCATTCAGGTTCTGCATTAAAATGTCATTCTCTGCATGACTGCTTTATGCTGGAAATGCAGGTGTGATGATTTAGAAGCGTGTAGGAGGAAAACGTGAACAAGTAGAAGGAAAGGTGCAATCCAGGATTGATGAGGGCTTTGGGTTAACGCTGTGGGGAGAGCCAGCCTCTTGCACGCCCTCAGCATCTGCACGGCGCTCGTTGGCTTTATCTTGGTTTAGCTTCTATTTGGCTGTTGTTGTTTTTAATCATAAAATGACTATTTGTGCAATGCAAACAGCAGAGCCTGCTGTGAGCCACTTAGTGCAGCCCAGAAATGTCACTGTCTGCATTCATCCAGCCTCTCCCATGAGGAGGCAGGCTGGGTTTTCAATACCGCTCTTCCAGGAAAACGGGATGTCACTCATCCCTCTTTTTGTTACCTTGGTTTTCCCTCCTCATTGCTTGAGGACTGCAAAGGTAGGAGCAGAAGGGCTATGAGATCATGACCCTTATTCCTATAAGTACATGCACGCACATTCAAATGTTGAGATAATGCAAACAGCATCAATACAGTGCTGGATGCGTGGATAACCAGGGGATGCCCCAAAAGGGAGGATATCCCCTATATAGGTATATGGGATGTTCTTTGTAGGACAGCCATATCAGAGCTAAACCACCCCACTGCCACTAGGTTTTTGCCCAGCCCACCAAGCCTGTGCATTCTCTATATAATCCCAGACTACCTCCGAGCCCAAAGTGACTTGCTTGTGCCCTGCTGTTTGACACATTCAAGTTGTCTTTGTGCGTATGAGCTGCAGCTGCTGCTGGGCTGCTCTCCCATCCCCAGACACCTCCTGTCACAGGCAAAGAGGGGTTTTGTCTGCCACTTCCTAAGTGAGCACCAAGAGGCCACTTCTGAACCCTCCGTGGTCGTTACCTGATGTGAACCGGGGCATGGTAACTCAACACAACATAAATCCCAGCAGATGCCAGAGGCCTTTCTCCGCTTTGGCAAAGTGAACCCCATGTTGGAGGGCTGGGGGGCCCTAAGCCAAGGTTTTCCACAGCTGTGCTTTCTGTGCTGCTTTCCCGTATGTCATTTGGGAAGGGAGCAAATAGCTTGGGACCCTGCCCATGGCAGGGGGGTGGAACTGGATGAGCTTTAAGGTCTTTTCCAACCCTAACTATTCTATGGTTCTGTCACTAGGGTGGAAGATGAGGTCTTAGAAATCTGGGAAAACTCAGTTTTCCCCAGATGACAGAAAATACACAAATCCTCACTTCCCTAATTTTATTGCTTAACCTGAGCACTTTCCCTTGGGTTTAAACTGAATGTTTTATTTTAAATCCATGCCACTTCTGTATTTATGGCTTCAAAGAAATGTAAGGCAAAAGCACCACTTTGATATTAGCCTAAAGAGTTTCCTCTCCCCATGACTTAATCACGATGCTTCACATGCAACCCCTACCTCAAGAATCCCTAAATCACTGCTTGCCAATAATCAGAGAAGCAAATAGCAGGGGACTGCTGCTTCCTACTGTCCCTAGTGATTTAATCCATGGTTGTAGACAACAGTTCTTTGAGAGCATTGATCTTAGTGTAACCTCTACTTGCAGCTGCAGGTTGGCCAGTCCCTTCCCCACATCCCATAGTGCCCTGGAGATGGTAACACGTTAACCCATGAAACCCCAGCTTCGGAGGGGATGTTTCACCCCAGGGGTACCATTGCAGAGGGCTCAGGCACAGAAGGAGAAGGGCTGGCTGCTGCTGGGGTTTGAATAGGAGAAGGACCCCTTGCTTTCCCAGGGATGGGTGTGCTATCAGCAGGCTCTTGACTCACATTCTCAGGCAGGCATTTAGCTCCAAGCAGACACATGCAATTTTAAAGTACCCCAGACAACATTAATGCTGCCAGCTCATGCAGCTTCAGTGTTGGGAGCACAGGAACTGCTGTCTTTATGAGCAGTAACAGCAGCTTAGAGGTATAACAAGTTGGGTGGAAAACCTCCACAACACAAAGAGAGACCATTTGATATCTCAGCAGCATCCCTCCCATGGTAACCAGCCTGGCAGGGGGTGGAGAGGGGAAGGGAAATGCCCTGGGGAGTGCTGAGCTGGCAGAATAACTCTTGGGGTGCAGAGGTTTAGGGATGAGGAAGGTAGAAGTGGTCAGGAGACAGCGAGAGGGCAATAAGGAGGCCACCAAAGCAAAACCATGGCCATTCCACATGGGGATGTGTCACTTTGTCCTGCTATGGTACAGGCAAAGAAGTAGATGGGAATAAATGCAGAAGGGTGATAAAACCCTGGGGAATTATCTCCATTGTGGTGACAGGACCAGGAGAGACCCATAGCAGCGTGCAAGGGGGCTAACGTTAGAGCCAACAAAGCCTTTGCAAGATGGGGATGTTCCTACTCACCCTGCTCACACGCAGCCGTAGCTCCCCGAGGTTTGCAAAGGGCAGCCCCTCGTCCCTTTTATACACGTGCCGAATCAGGGCCATCTTTGTGTTCTTGTCACACCTTTCTAATGTCAGGAGGGCTAAAAATACTGCAAAGCGCCGCTGAGCAAGGGAACATCGCTGCTGCCAACCCAAGGCTCTGCAGGCCTGGCACTCCTGCACAGCATCAGGGCCAGGCTGTATTTACAGGAGGGAGAGGGCAGAGATAAGAGGCCTTCTCTTATCGGCAGCCAGGCTTTGGCAGGGCAGCAGTGGCTGGCTTGTGTCCATTGCCCCTGCCTGGGGAGGGCAGGCGATGGGTTTGGGTGTTTCTGTAGGGTTCTCTAAAGTGTTTCTGCCTTGGTTGTGTGTTTCTGGGCACCTTTCAGGGTGTTCCTGTAGTGCTTTGAATTTCATCATCCTGGCTTTGCCTTGGTAGGGATGTGAGGAAAGCCAAGAGCAGAGTTATCTGGAGAGTTTTGAGGTTGTCTCTCTGCTCCTCTACTCTATAGCATCACTTGGACAGATCTTACTGCCTTATGAGATGCTCACACCACCTTTTCCATCATCTGCATCTGCTCTGTCTTATTGCATCCTTAGTTTTCCCAGTCTTCTGCAAAATTCCCTTTACCATTGGCCTGCATCTGCAGGATTGGAAGGGGAACTCTTGATTCTGGCTTTGCACAGGCTGCTTTGCAGCCCTCGTCTTTTGCTTATTACACTTGGAAGTCCCCAGTGCTCATCCTGATTAAGAGCCCTGTTACAGAGGTGTCCAAGAACTTCAAACATGGCTGTTGGAATATTGTTCATTATTATTATCTATGTTCCACTAAGTGGCATCATCTCCCTTGTTTCTATTCACTCCTCATAACGCTGTCTCCAAATATTCCAAACTTTCTTCATCAAAAAGACAGGAAATAACAAGGGAGGAAAAATATTTGCCAATGGGATGGATTTGGGGATGGAAAAAGAAGAAGTAAAAGACTTTGGAGAAGAGGAGAAACACCGCATTTAAACTCCCCCCAGATCTTAGCTCTCTCCCTTTACCTGGGGTTTGGAAACCACAGCATTCGGATGCTGCAGGCTCTCGCTGGCTCCCTTCTTGGTGCAGGGCTGGCTCGGAGTTGGATGCAGTGGCCACCACACCCGGCTGCTGGAGAGCACAACGTGTCATTTGGGTCCCGGCAATGAAACCTTTCTAATTAGCAGAAAATGGCTTCAAAATGAAATCTTCACAGCAAGTGGGGTTTGGCAGCCTGGGGCTGGCAGAGGAAGCTCCTGGGTCTTGTGGAAGGAGCACGAGATGCCATAGCTCGAAGATGTTTCCAGTTATGTGAGGCTATTCATGGGTCTGTTTTGCAATTGCTGGTCCTGTGCTGGTCTCTACCCAATCCAGAGACCTACTGAAACACTGCAAAAGGCTCTGTAAGGCAGAGCACCCCATGGCTAAGGTAGTTTTGAAGCCAAGGTATGAGTTCATGCCTCTAGGCAGACAATCTGGCCATGGTGGAGCCCACTGTCAATGGGACCCTGGTTCTTTAGTCTGGGAAACCAGTGGCATCTCACCTAGGTGCTGGTCACCTCCTTCCACTGGCTACATAGATTTGGCTCATCCATGCTCACCAATGAGACAACTAAGGTGAGGCTGAACTTCGGTCTCTGGTATGCAGCAAGTTGTCACTGTCCTTGCTATGGGACTCCCTTGTTAGATGATGTTCACAGGGTGAATTAAAGCTTTTGCAATTGAAATAGGGGTAAAACCCCACACCAGACCGAACAGTGATGAGCCAGTATGAGTTGCCATGGCTGGGCAGCTCTATTGACCATCAAGCAGAGGCAAAGGGGGTTTGCAGGTGTTGTGTGAAAAGGCAAGGTTATGGGGAGGGTGTGAAACAGAGGGATGAGGCCTTGCTGTGATTGCGTTCGGAGGCTTTTCTCAGAGAGACGGGGAAAAGATGAGGGGTGATGGGAACAGGTTACTGATGGGGAGACCCCAGCTGGGCACAGGAGGGAAATGCTTCACAATGAGAGCAAGCAGCCATTGGAATAATCTTGCCATGAAGTGGTGGATTCCCCAGCGTTGGACACTGCTAAGACTCGGCTGCACAGGGTGCTGGGCCATCCAGTCTAGGTCATGCTTTGCCTAGAAGGGTCGGACAAGGTGGTTCTTGAAGTCCCTTCCAACCTGGGATTCTGTGATTGAAAATAACACAACATTGCTTGGTAATAGAGGGTGAACGGGGTGAGCCTGGAGATGGAGCTGGGATCAGAGGTGAGACAGGAGAGGGCAGAGACGCCTTAGATAACAAAGGCAAATCACTCATTGCCTCCTTACGCAGGGGCAAACAGTGCAAACAGAATCAGGATACAGGAAGAGTTAACTTGACCAAGGCAAGGAGCTAAAAATACCCTTGCAGAGAGGTATTTTGCATGGACAAGTTTGCATCAGAGAAGCCCAATTGAGAAACTGTGGCATTAACCCAGTGTGGAGACAAGAGCCTTGATGAGCTGGTGGGCAGCAGAAGGCACTGCTTTGAAATGCCAGGTGGGATGGTGCAGCTATGCAAGGAAAACTGCCCACACCAACTAAAAGTTCAATATATTTGCTCCCTGTTGTCCGTGTATAGCAGGAAAGGCCAATTTCTGTACCCATTTGTAGCTGTCAGTGGGTGCTTGCAGATCAGGGCAAGACAGATATAGAAGGGGGTTGGAACTGGATGAACTTTAAGGTCCCTTCCAACCCAAACCGGTCCATGATTCTATGATTCTTGTCTAATAGTTGTGCTGTCCCCACCTTTGTGGAGAGGAGCTAAAACTACCCCACTGATTGGATTGTATCCCCCAGGCCATACCCATTGCTAAGGCATGGCATTGCTAATACTGCAGAGCAAGGTGAAACTTCAGACAGACAAGTACCTACCTCTGAACCAGGGCTGATCTCACACTGTTTGCTTCATCTCTGTGGAGCAATATGGGACTGGGGCTGAATGCTGGGCCTGGGAGAGGCACTGGCCATGGGCTCCGGACCAAGGCGGATGGATCGTGGCAGCCTTCTCCTGCAGAGTATGGTTGAGAAAGCAGTTTTCATTGTGAGCTCTTATTTTACTTGCAAAGCCTTCCAGGCTCAGGGAGTCTCTTGGCTCGAAAGCCGGGAGCTGGTTTGGGGTTTGCTTTTTTTGCCTGGTTTTTTTTTCTTTTCCCCTTTTTTAAAGCACTCAGCAGGAATCCAGAATTTAAGAGAGGAGAGAGAATTGCTCACTCTGCAGATATTGGCAGCGAGCGGCTTTTCCAGTTGATTTCCCTGGAAAGAGAGGATGAATACATGGAAATAAAGCAAAGGCTGGATTTGAAAATCCTCCAGACAAGCACCTTCACCTGCTGATAGGTGTGGGTTGGCTTTTCCTACCTTCCTAACCTGGCAGATCCTAATCCCAGAGCAGGCAGGGAGATCCACGGCTGGTTTGGAAACCAGCAGTGAGCTGTGCTTGAATGACAGGGTGTCTTTCAGGAGGGAACCCCAACTGAAATCAAAGCATCCAGGAGGGGCTGAGTTCACCCCAGCCACTCAGCAGCTAACACGGTGTTGTTCTTGCAGCTAAAACCCCTGGTTTAACTTGACTCTGCAGTTTTCCAGTCCACAAGGGACATTGCTTACCCGTCCACTGCTTCATTTGAAAGTTACTGGCCAAAATGTGCATTTTTTTGTGGGTCAGGGCCACTTTTTACACCTCACCCACTGAGCTGGGGTTAATGTCTGAGGGGTTTATGCTTCTTATGAGAGCCTGTAGGGACAGGCCAAGGGGAATGGCTTGAACCTGCCCGAGGGGAGACTGAGCTGAGCTCTTAGGCAGAAGCTCTTCCCTGTGAGGGTGCTGAGGCGCTGGCACAGGGTGCCCAGAGAAGCTGTGGCTGCCCCATCCCTGGCAGTGTTCAAGGCCAGGTTGGACACAGGGGCTTGGAGCAAGCTGCTCCAGTGGAAGGGGTCCCTGCCATGGCAGGGGTTGGAGCTGGAGGAGCTTTAAGGCCCCTTCAACCCAAACCATTCCATGATTCATGTCTAAGAAGTACACAGCAACCCTGGCTAATGAAGTATTTGTGTTCTTGGATGGCCTTTGAGAGCATAAGGTTTAAAGAACTAACAAAAAATGAGACAAACAGGTGGCACTCCAGCATGTTTTCTGATTTAAAGGTCTCTCTAACACTCTATTTTAGCTGTTTTGTTACAGTATTCGTGAAGGTAAGAAATTAGGAGACCAGAAAAAAGAAATTGAAAATTGGGGCTTCTGCTTGCTTCTCTGAGGCTGTCAGATAAACCAGGGACACTTGGTGTCTCCTAATCAAATGAGGATCACAGGTAAAAATGCCTACGTTCCTCAGTTTCTGCATTCTCATCATAGAATCATGGTTTGGGTTGAAAGGACCTTAAGATCACCCAGTTCCAATCCCCATGCCGACACCACATCACCCAGGGCTCTGTCTGACCTGCTTACAGGAACTCGAGCTCACAATCTCAGCACATGGAACTCGGTGTCAGCTGGGACCTTTCCCCCTTGCTGCAGCACAAGGACCCCTTTTATAGTGCCATAAAAAGACCTCTTGATGGGGGTGAGCTCCTCTCTGGTAGAGCTCATCCATCTGTGCCAGGGAGCTGGAGCTGCTGTGGTGCAAAGGTGCGCTTCAAGGAGCAATACAGGAAACAATGCATCAGGCATGTCTGTCACCAAGTAGCCTCACCTCGTGCATCACTGTCTTTAACGACCTTTTTCAACTGTTTCTGCTTAATGAATAGTTATTTTTTGCAGGCTGGGGAAGAACACAGGCCTTTTGACAGCTCCTTTCCATCAGAGTTTCCTTTTCTCTTCTCTGTTTGGTTTTCTTTCAGGTGAATACTTGAACCAGAAATGAGTCAAATCTGGGTTTTTTTCCTATTTTGATCAAAAGCACAAACCATCCCGCAGAGACTGGGCACATTCTGCTTTCTGAACTCACGGTGCTGGCATCTCACAACAACAACAATGTGTTTGATGAGCCCCTAATAGCACTACAGAGAGCTGTCCCCTTTTGAAGCCTGCTTTCTGGCACTAATCTTACACGAAAATCTTTGAAGCTCGGGCAAGCATTTAATTGACATCACTGAGCTG